GGGGGAAAAAGGAAAATGAGCTGATTCCGGGAACTCAAGAGGAAAGCGAATTTTGGGAATAATGAGGGAAACAAATGTATAGGTGTACTTTACACAATTGATCTATGTATTGTGATGAATTGTATGAGCCCCAATACATTGATTAAAAAAAAAAAAAAGCACATCATCTTCCTTTAAGTTTTATTTAAAAGAGTATTTCTCTGAGCCAATATTAGGAATTAGAAATAAAATAAGCTTAAACGTTATTAGAATATATAAAAATATAAGTACATATATAAAGAAAATGTAAATTATTTAAATATATAAGTATATAACTACATATATTGGGGGAAATATATTTTTTCTCTATTAATATGGAATGCTTCATGAATTTGCGTATCATCCTGGCACAGGGGCCATGCTATTGTTCCAATTTTAGTACAAATGCTGCCAAAGCAAGCATGGTTAATATATATATCATATATATCTGGGGGGAAATATGTATAATATATATCTGGGGAAATAGATATATCATATATATCTGGGGGAAATATATATGTCATATATGTGGGGGAAATATATCATATATCCTGGGGGTGTATATATCATATATACCTGCGGGGAAAGATATTTATATTATATATACCTGGGGCAAAGATATATATCATATATACCTGGGGGAAAGATATATATCATATATATCTGGAGGAAATATATATAGAAATATTCATCCAAATAAAAAAGAATTGAGCTTACCCACTATCTGGTGCTAACACATAAAATAAATACAAACATTCCCAAACACAAGCAAACGTCCAGACTTGCTGATATCTCTGGCTTTCTAAAATACCAGGAGCATCTCCTGATAAGAATTTTATAAGAAGTAAAAGCCAATGCTCCTCGGCGGACCTACGTCTTCAGCGCCCCGCCCACACGCCGAGGCCCGTGCCACTGCGCAGGCGCGACGCGGACGCAAGTGCGCGAGGTGACGTGGAGGATGGCGTCGCTGAGGTACCCCACGCCGCTGCACGCACACGTGGGTCGCGGGGCTTTCCGCGAGGTGTACGAGCCTGCCGAGGACACGTTCTTGCTGTTGGACGCGCTCGAGGCGGCGGCAGCCGAGCTGACGGGGTGCGTGAGGCGGTCGCGGTGCCGCGGGGAGGATTTAGGGAGTCTCGGCTGTACGGCGGCCGGCGCGGAAAAATGGGTCGCCGCCCCTTGCCTGGGACCCGCCCACTGGCCTGTGATTGACACCCGAGTTACGTTTTCCTGCTGAATCATGTACTGAGTGTACCAGGAGTGTGTATTCTTTTGCCAAAATGTTGGTTTCGTGATATCTAGGCCTTCTTACCACGCTACGATGTCTTTTTCAATCAGCTTGTGTGAAAAACGCATGCCCTTTTAAGGCAACAGTGTTAATGTCATAAACATAAAATAGTCAAAACATTGGACTAAAATACGTAGCGTTATCGAATTTATTCAATACACAAAAAAGCAACAGAAGGGCAGAAAAATAGGTTGGAAGTGCTTAGAGAAAGACTTTTATAAGCACTCCGTAACATATTCTGCGCCTTGTTAAAATGTTTGCCAGTTTAGTAGCCACTAGCCGCTTGTGGGTATTGAGCAATTATAATGTGGCTAGTGCAACCGAAGGTCATTCATTTCGCTTAATTAAAAATTATCTATCCTCTCAAAACCAAACTCATTGCATTCCGACCCATAGCAGCCCTATAGAACAGGGTAGAACTAACTGCCCCTGAGAGTTTCAAAGCTGTAAATCGTTAAGAAAGTCATATCTTTCTACCAGGAGCTGCTGGTGGGTTTGAACTGCTGACCTTGAAGTTAGCAAAACAAAGAACACACTCTGCCATAGGAGCTATAGAATTTACCCGAGAGCTTTATAAATATTCAAATTGACATGGTTGAAATGTTATTGCTGAATTTTGAGTTAGATTTTATATATATATATATATGCATTTTAACTTATTTCTAGTGAAGAAATATAGATACTTGGATTTATTTGAAGGATGAAAACTTGAACTGGATTTTCTCAGGATGAAATAATGAGCTGTCAGGCTTCAAAACAGCTTCAAACATCTATATTGTGTTAATTTATCTCTCTTGAACTCAGTCGGATTTTTCCATGTATAAAATACCCCTTTTATTAAACCAGTTTCTTATTGTAAATGATGGAATTTGGATTTACTGGAATATAGAATGGAACAGCACTGTTTTATAACTTATCTTTTATGATCAAGATATCCCAGAAAGATTTACAAGCACAGATTGCATTACAAAGTATGCAGTAAAAGGACCTGATTTTTGTTATAAAGTCTTGAATAGTTCTGGTCTTGGAATTCTAATTATTTATGAGACTACGATAGTTGTTTTCAAATAGAAGTGACATGATAAGATTCACAGACATCCTACAGCATAAGAAATGCTTCTCAGTTATGTGGGCAGTTTAAAAGTAAGAAACACCCAGTGTCTACTGTTGGTGAGTTTTGGGGGAGGGGAGTTAGGTGGAAAGACCATTGCAGGGACCCTTTTTTAATTCTCAGTTCTCCCTGGTGGCATAGCAGCTTTGGGCTGCTAACGGCAAGGTGAGGAGTTCAAACCCAGCAGCCACTCAGTGGGAGAAAGATGAGTCACTATGGGTCACTATGAGTTGGAGTCAACTCGATGGCAGTGAGTTTGGATGAGGCTCACCTGCGCCTATAACAATGTACAGCTCAGAAATACTATATAGGATCACCATAAGTTGGTATTGACTTAAGTGGCAGTGGGTAATAACCTTCTAAGATAGTTAGAAATATTGTTCTACGATAAGATATTTAAACATTTTCCTGATTTCCCATATAGCTAGCCAAACACTAATTTCTTTTTTTCTTCTAAATCTGTTATCAGTTAATTAGGCCATCTGTCTCCTCACCTCCCCACTCTATAAGGTATGCTAATAGACTTAGGAAAATTATGTACTTAAAACATGACCGAGGAAAACATCTTTCCTAAGTACATTTTATAGTTAAACTAATCCTGTCTTTTTAGGAAGTCCTAAATAGATCCTTGCAAAGATTCTGTGTTTCATATTATTTTAAATTCTAAAAATAACTTATTCTAATTTTCTGTAATATGTTATTGAAATTAATTGAAAACCACTCATTGTGATTTACGATAAACTGCACACTCAAATCGTCAACAATTTTGAGTAACACACCATTAAATTTGAATACAGTGTGATGGTAAGTAAGTAAATGGTAAATCACTTTTATATCCCAATATAAGAAGGGGCTTCGGGGCCAGAGCATGGCACCCCATCAGACTCTACCGGAAAATACTCCTAAAGGACAACAAACAAACCTTGAACTATTTACAGGCTTTTCTTTTTTTGTCATTGGTTTTTTGTTGTTGTTTTGTTTTCTTTTGCTGCTTTGTTTTGCTCTGTCTTGTTTGTGTGCATATTATTATCTACACAGGTCTATCTAGATAAGATAGGCACGATAAGCAATCTGGAGGAGAAAATAATGGGACTGATGGTTTTTTTGGGGGGGAAGAGGGGGAGGTAGGGGAAAGGAAGTGGTGTTAGCAAACCCAGGGACAAGGGAACAACAAGTGATCCAAAATCGGTGGCAAGGAGGATGCAAGAGGTCTGGTAGGGCTTAATCAAGGACACTGTAACTGAGAGGAATTACTGAAACCCAAATGAAGCCTGAACATGATAGAAGACAAGAGGAAAGAACTAGGAGCAAAGGGCATTTATAGAGGTCTAAATACAGGCATGTACATATGTAAATAAATTTATATATGATGATGGGGAAATAGATCTATGTGCATATATTTATAGGTAGCAGATGGACATTGGGCCTCTACTCGAGTACTCCCTCAATGCAAGAACACTTTGTTCTATTAAACTGGCATTTCATGATGCTCACCTTCCTGACATGATCTCTCAAGACAAAGCGGGTTCATAAGCAAATGTGGTGAAGAAAGCTGATGGTGCCCAGCTATCAAAAGATAAAGTCTCTGGGGTCTTAAAGGTTTGAAGATAAACAAGCAGCCATCTAGCTGAAAAGCAACAAAGCCCACAGAAAGAAGTACACCAGCCTGTGTGATCATGAGGTATCAATGGGATCAGCTATCAGGCATCAAAGAACAAAAAAAATCATATCATTGTGAATGAGGGGGAGTGTGGAGTGGAGACCCAAAGCCCATCTGTAAGCAGCTGAACATCCCCTTACAAAGGGTTGCAGGGAGGTGACAAGCCAATCAGGGTGCAGTGTAGCAACAATGAAACATAACAACTTTCCTCTAGTTCTTTAATGCTTCCTTCCTTCCCCCACCCCCCCCACTATCATGATCCCAATCCTACCTTACAAATCCAGCTAGACCAGAGGATGTACACTGGTATAGATAGGAACTGGTAACACAGGAAATCCAGGACAGATGAACCCCTCAGGACCAGTGGTGAGAATGGTGATACCAGGAGGGTGGAGGGAAGGTGGGGTAGAAAGGGAGAACCGATCACAAGGATCTACATATTACCTCCTCCCTGAGAGACAGACAACAGTGGGTGATGGGTGATGTCGGACAGTCTAAGACATGGAAAAATAATAAAAATTTATAAATTATTAAGGTTCATTGGGGAAGGGGTCTGGGGAGGGAGGGGAAAATGAGATGATAAGGGCTCAAGTAGAAAGAAAATGCCTTGAGAATGATGATGGCAACAAATGTGCTTGACGCGATGGATGTATGGATTGTGATAAGAGTTGTTCAAGCCTCTAATAAAATGATATTTTTTTAAAAGGTGGCTTCAAAAAGTTTATGGGGAAAAAAATCCATTATCTTTTCATTCCATTTTTCTATTAACTATCTGAAGCCCCAACATGTAAGTGATGATACTGGGGAAATGTACATTGAAATTAGCGCTGAAATTCTTTTCTGTAAAGTGTATTTCTGATCCTGCCATACTTATAACTGTTTGTTTCTTCTTAGAGTGGAACTATGCCTTGAAGTAGGGTCAGGCTCTGGTGTGGTATCTGCATTCCTATCCTCAATGATAGGTCCTCAGGCCTTTTACATGTAAGTAGATGACATTCTTTTTTTTTAAATACTTTTATTGGGGGCTCTTATATCTCTTATCACAATCCATACATTCATCCAGTGTGTCAAGCACAT